GGAGGTTCTGCTCCATGGAAGGAAGGTCATGTGTGAGCTTGTGGTGAGGCAGCACACTAGGACAGGAGTGTGTGGAACAAAGCTGAGCATATTGTGGAGAGGAAAGAGGATGAGATCACAGGCACACAGTTCTCCCCATGACCAAAGTGTTAGTGACTTCAAACCTTCCCAATGGCCCTCTATTTATACATGTTCCATCACCATGCCAAAAAAAAACCAAAACAAAGCAATAAAAAACCCTAAAAAACAACTCCCAAGAAATTATTCATACTTGGTTGCCTTAACAAACCTTAATACAAAGGGTGGAGCTTAGTTGTTCCTCAGCTTGATATGCCATGCTTTGTTGATACCCATGGGAGACCTACTCCTTTCTGAACAGACACACAGGAGGAGTGGATTGGTGAGGACAGAGGAGAGTTGGGGTGCCACACCAAATCCAGTAGATTCTGTGTGACAAGTTCTACAGGCAATAACTTCAAAAGAAGGATGTCTCCTGGAAATGATTGTGGAACACTCAGCCAGAGAAAAATATTGGGCTGTGATTCTTCTGGCAATTTCTGTTTTTTCTTCTATTCATTTTTTCACATTAATGGAATGTTCCTGAAAGCTTACATTGACATTTTAAGAGGGAGATATAGATAAGAATCCATCCCCTGAGGTGGGGCCACTAGCCATGACATAATCTTAGGAAAAACCAACACTTTCCATATCATTCATGTCATTCACATAAATACAAACAGATAAAACTTTCCCAACAATAAATTTCATATGGCTGTACATGTGTCATTGAGAGTGGCCTTAGGTGTCTGGTAAAGAAAGCTTTTAGTAAGAAAGAGTTAAAATTGTTAAAATAGTTCAATATTTCAGAAACTCACAAGAACTAGATAATAGATGTTAAACAATAACTGACTATAAAAATTTATTAACTTGATTCAAAAAGTATGTGGTTAACTCTGGATGATTTCATGTTTTGGATTTCTGCATCATTGTGCCAAGTAACAACAATTTCATATGTTTGGGTTTGTTTAACAAAAACATCCCCTGAGAAAATGTTTCTATAAAAAACCTCTCTTGAGAACTGCAAAATACACTGAGATTCAAACTGCCCCTGTGTTTGTTTCTGTTTGTTACTGCCAAATCCTTATCCACCTAGTCTTTGAGGACCTTCATCGCATGGGGTAGTCCGTGGGAATGGGAAGAAAGAAACTGTGGGAGGGGAAACTGTAGTCAGGATGTAAATAAATGAATAAATAAATAAATAAATTTAACTAATAAAATTCAAAAACAAACAAACATTCAAACAAACAACCCCAAACGAGCCTGGAGGGTTTATCATATGGCCCTTCTGGGGAACAGACAGGCTACAATCTATTTCAGTCCTTGAGAGGGGAATGCCAACTTTCACTCAGCCCAATGGATTATACTGGTGTTATGTGTGGACATGAGTGTCTAGGGCCTTTCTCCCTGTCAAATACTTGGATTGGAAATGTTTGAGTTTCCTTTGCATTATATACATAATGTTCCCCATTGTCAATGCATCCAGTTCAGGCACCATGGATAATTGCCTGTCATGAAAGAGCCCCAGCTAACCTGGTGTTTGGCTTAAAGGCTGCATTCCTGTGTGGAGTTGATGGTGAGTGTCCAGAGGGACACAAGGCCAGTGTCATAATTTGCCTTGCCTTTCAGACAGAGGAATTGCCAGGATTTCTAATACTGTCCATCAATTGGGATTAGAAAGCTGAGTGGTTGACTGACTGGGTAGATTCTAAGTTTAGGTTTCCAGCCTCCTTCTTTATCCCATGCTCCCAGCTCCCTGCCTTTTTTGCCTGATGACATTTAGATTAATTCCTCTTAGAAAATCCAACTTCCCCTTATTTTTCCTCTGTCTTATTAAACCTGATTATTTCTCTTTTTGAGAAGTATTACAATGCAAAATATTGTGGTGTTATAAGATGCACATATGTGTTTAGGCATGAGAGATAGCTTAATGGTTAAGAGCCTGTCCTGCTCCACCGAGTATCTGGATTCACAGCAATTAAGATTTTCTAAGCTGATTTGCATATTGAGATATTAGCCACAGTGCAGATTCCTCAAACCATCTTTAAAGGCAGCTTGCCAGTGCCCATGAAGCAGCTTCTCTCTGTTTCAGATCTCAGAGATGGGGTCAGCTGCTCTCCTGCTGTGGGTACTGCTACTCTGGGTTCCAGGTAAGAGGATGCAGGGTTGGGCGTATCCATCTTGGCCATCATTGGCTTTTTTATGCTTTGGTGTCATCATCATTGAGATTATTTCATTTCATTTGTTTTAATTTTTTCTTTTCTTTTATAGCTCCTCAGAATATAACTCATGACTGCTGTTACAGATTCCTCATGCATGGTAGTTTTATACTGGCCTGCTTTCAGTGTATCTGTGACAGTAATATGTGTTCCTCACTTCAGGTTCCAATGGGCATGTTGTGTTGACTAAGTATCCAGCTTCTTTGGTCATGTTTCTAGGGAATAGGGCCACCATCTCCTGCAAGCCCAGCCAGAATGTCACTATTAGACCTATTGATTTTATGAGCTGGTATCAACAGAAACCAGTACAAGGCCACAAACTCCTCATCTATGGAGCATCCAAGCTAGCATCTGGAGTCCATACCAGGTTCAGTGGCAGTGGGTCTGGGACAGACTTCTCCCTCACCATCCATCCTGTGGAGGCTGATGATGTTGCAACTTATTACTGTCAGCAATGTCTAGTGGTTCCTCCCACAGTGCTCCAGGGCTGAACCAAAACATCCTGGGTTTTCTGTTCATTGAAGCTCAGTTTCTGAGCTATTTCTCACCAGACATCTCAACCCTATGCAGAGGGGCAGAATTCCCTCTCCCACCTAAGGTGGGCTAGCTCTCCCTGCCCCTCATCAGCTGCAGCACTCAATAAAGTGGTCCACACATCTAAAGTGGTTAAAATAGTAGATCTAGCCTTGTAGGTATACATGTGGGAGGACCAATTTTGGGGATGTTAAAACAGGAGAACTAGCCCCACTCCCTTTTCATTTATACAAGAGGTGAACTCGCCAGGGCAATGCTGGAGAACTCACCCTGGTGGTGAAGACAGGGGAGAGTGGTGGTCTGACCAAACCTGCAACTACTCACGTTCAGGTTTATGAGTTGGCTAACCCCATCACCCAGTCCAGCTGTGATCTGTTGGAGCAGAGGTGGAGTGGGGGGGCTGTGAATATCCAGGGCT